AGAACCGCAACGCGATGTGTTTGGTCCTCGAGCTGAAGGACCGGTTCCCCAATGCATGCAGCGTAGCCGTGTTATCACAGTACACGGGCAGTTGTGCAAATTCTTTCCCAAATCCAAGCTCCGTCATCATGTTGGAGCAAAACACTGCTTCCTTCATCGCCAGCGCCGACGCGACCAGCTCTGCTTCCATGGTGGACATTGCTGTCAGACCTTGCAGCCCTGACCTGAAGCTCATGGGAGCGTTCGCCAGCATCGTCAGGTAGCTCGAGGTGGACTTCCCGTTGTCAGGGTTGTTCGCCCAGTTGGAGTCCGAGAAAGTCGCGAGCTTGAAACCACCTTTCTTGTAAGTGATGCTGAAATCGATCGTTCCAGCCAAGTAACGAAGGGTGTGCTTTGCCGCCACCATGTGANATAACACTGAAAAATGGCGGTACCATTTTGGCGGTACTGCAAAATGGCGGTACCGTTTTGGCGGTACTGCGATATGGCGGTACCGTTTTGGCGGTACTACAATATGGCGTTTTTTTTTGAGCGGATCCGGGAACACAATAATACGGCGGTACCAATTTCGGCGGTTTGCAATATGGCGGGAATTTTTAGGCGGGAAGCGGTTTTCGTTTTTTCGGCGGGAACGCCTTCGGCGGATCCGGTACCCGCGAATTATGGCGGTACGTCCCGCCAGTACCGGATCCGCCTAAATTCCCGCCTAAATGACGGCGGGAAAATCCCGCCGTGTATCCTGAAAAAATCGGTGTGTCGTGTACTCTGTGGACACCGGCTGGTACATAGTTTTCGCGGCAAGGCATGGACATTCTCGGGCTTGGACAACCTCGCCTGCAACCACGCACAGATTGATAGATATACTTGTTGTAGCAATGCCAAGTGGTTGGTGCTGGATGTTCCGATGGAATGAGGTAGAGCGGAATACCGGGTGATATGTATGTGTGGTACGTAGAATGGATTCCAGGGATGTACAAGGTACCCCTGTTGTATACGGCGTCGCCCCCTCAACGGGGCTTGTGTGTGGATGTGGATGCAACTAATCACAACAAGTTTTTCTCCTCGGTGCAAGCTCGCCGAGTTGCCGATACCTTATTCAACACACGTCTTGCGATAAGCTACCCCCAGTTCGGATTCTCCTAACACGCTAGCGTGGTTATATCATACGGGATCCCGAGGTGGGGCTAGCTACAAAAGGGTTCGGCCAGAGAACAGTGACACGGAAATCATGGAGCAGCAGCTGGATGAGCTCCAGCTCTCGGACGAGCAGCGAAACGTTATCGACGCTTTTATCAAGGAGGAGGTCAAGATCAAAGTAGAAGAAGCAGCAGCAGCAGAGCGCCCCGCAACACAGAGCGAGGGCATGCCTTCCGAAGGAGGCGACACCCGGCTGGAGAGGCCGGCTGGCTCGGAGTCAAGCCCGCGACCCGAAGACCAGCCCCGATCGCCGGCGGACGTCAGCCTCATCGACACCCTCGCGCGGGCCTTGCAGAGGGTCAAGATAAAACCGGAGGATGAATACAGGGAAGTCCCAACCCCTAAATGAACAATACGTATTAGCGCAGGTATCACAATCCCTGCATCCACCGGGAAGTAGCCCCGAGGATGATGTACAGACGGCGGTAATGGTTTTCACCAATCAATTTCGATCTTTGTTGGAGCAGGAGCGTTGCCTTGGGGCATTAGAATCGAAGAACACGATTCGTGTAGGGAAGACGGATGCGAATATCTCGGCATTGAAGGTGGAGCATGGGACGGAAGCTGTAGATCGGGCGGTTAAGGCTTGGCAGCTAATTATATCCAAGATACAAGTACCGACAATAGTCCCTGCAATCCTAGCTAGTGGTTGCCCCACTGAATCGTGGGATCAATTTCTCAACTTTTACCGAGTGCACGCAGAAATGGACCAGTTGGAGTTGCAGGGGCAGTGGTGCTCGTTGAAGCAGCAAGTAGGGGAGGAGCCCCTGCGCTATCTCACAAGAGCATCATCAGTACTTCGCCAGAAACTAGAAGCGTACGGTTGGGTGCAATCCGATCATGATGCTAACGTCCACTATGTNGCCCCGAGGATGATGTACAGACGGCGGTAATGGTTTTCACCAATCAATTTCGATCTTTGTTGGAGCAGGAGCGTTGCCTTGGGGCATTAGAATCGAAGAACACGATTCGTGTAGGGAAGACGGATGCGAATATCTCGGCAATGAAGGTGGAGCATGGGACGGAAGCTGTAGATCGGGCGGTTACGGCTTGGCAGGTAATTATATCCAAGATACAAGTACCGACAATAGTCCCTGCAATCCTAGCTAGTGGTTGCCCGACTGAATCGTGGGATCAATTTCTCAACTTTTACCGAGTGCACGCAGAAATGGACCAGTTGGAGTTGCAGGGGCAGTGGTGCTCGTTGAAGCAGCAAGTAGGGGAGGAGCCCCTGCGCTATCTCACAAGAGCATCATCAGTACTTCGCCAGAAACTAGAAGCGTACGGTTGGGTGCAATCCGATCATGATGCTAACGTCCACTATGTGCGCAACCTTCTGCTCGATTTCAATGTGCAGAGGAGCGTGTTGTTGGCGCATTCGGAGGTCAAGACGGGATTGGTAGAGAAGGTGATTCTGACTGCGTGGGCGGAGAAGGAGGCCGCTAGGAAGAGGGCGTCGGAGAGCGTGGGGCGTATGCCCTCGTCACTGGCGGTGATAACCGTGGTGGCGGGGGCGGNCTGCTCGATTTCAATGTGCAGAGGAGCGTGTTGTTGGCGCATTCGGAGGTCAAGACGGGATTGGTAGAGAAGGTGATTCTGACTGCGTGGGCGGAGAAGGAGGCCGCTAGGAAGAGGGCGTCGGAGAGCGTGGGGCGTATGCCCTCGTCACTGGCGGTGATAACCGTGGTGGCGGGGGCGGGAACATGGGGGATAGGGGGAAGACGAGAGGACAACGGAGGACGGCAGCCCGGCAACAGCAGTAACAACCGCAGCAGCCACAGCAGCAGCACAGCCGTACTTCAAGCAGCAGCAACAGGTATACCCGCCGCCGTACCCGCCNCCTGGTTTTTTCTGGAGGAGGACGTCATCAGCAGCAGCCGGCAGGAAGAAGATTCGGGGGGCTGGGCGCCGCTTCCGGTGGGAGGGGCAGGGGCCCTTTCCACCAGGGACCGCCGGGCAGCAACCTCCCCGCCTACCCTGTACCTCAGCGGGGCTACGACTACAGCGCCTACCCCCACCACATGTACCGCCCGCAGAAAAATGAACCTCCCATCCACCCGGATGACCCTCGCAAGCGGCGTGAGAACTGCGGTGAACTCGGCCACAACCATCTGTTCTGTCCTTCGCGTGTTGATGTGGGAAGGCCAGCTGGCATGCCGGCCGCCAACGCGCCGCCTAGGCCCCCACGGCCCCGGCCGCCGGCCGGTGGCTACAGCCAGCGGCCGCCGTGGGCCCACTCGTACGGGCAGGCCAACACCGCGCAGCAGTACGGCGGAGAAGGGGTAGAGCCAGGAGCAGCAAGAGCGACGGTGGCGACGACGGCAGCACCATCTACGGGGGGGCATGCAGTGACGCACGTGACCGGTGTTTATCAACAACCCGTGAAGCACGCGAGCGGTGTTTACGAATACCCACCCCAACAGCAGCAGCCGGAGTACCTATCCCACCCCTTCCAACAGCAGCAACCAGTCCCCGCCCCTTACGCCTCTCCCGCGCCTTCGACCGGAGCACGTTCGTCGGCAGGGGGGACGTTGCATGCGTGTGTTGTAAGGGACATGTCAAGTGAGTACCATAGTGAGATTTCGAGTGGATTCGTAAGGGGTGAGGGGTATACGTTGATGACCTCTATACCGGTTGTGATGGCGGAGCGTGTAGGAGCTGAAGAATGGCTTGCAGACTCCGGTGCAACTAACCACACCACCGGAGACTTCACGAACATGTACGATGTGATCATCCCGCCCCTTGGTACCGAGAGAGTGCAGATTGGTGATGACAGGACGATGCGAGTGCTTGGAATCGGATGTATAAACGTGAGGTTTCGTCTTGAAGGTAGAGACTTTTGCGTGAAGCTTACCCAACTACGTCATGTAGAAGGAATGGGGTTCAATCTTTTCTCCCTCCACCAAGCACAGGGATTGCAACGTATTGCCTTGGACGACGTAGGCACCCATCTTTTCCATGGCCAATTGGCCTTTCCCCGTGGCGAGAGGGGTTCGTCACTTTGGGCCACTCGCTTGCCGCCCAACTATGAAACGCCCACCGCTGTGCCTGTGATGCTTTTTCCCCCCGGTGCCCCCTCCCCGCGCTGCTGGTGTACGTTTACATGCGAGTGATGGTAGAGTGATGTCAGAAACCCCACCGGTGTTTTCCCCCCCTCCGGGTGTAGCATACGTTCCTTCCGCAGTGTCAGGTGTCCCGCCCGCTGAAAGCAGCGTAGTGCCTCCGGTGATGTCTGTACC